GTCTGCTATATGCAGATACTCATTTTTATACTCATTTTTCTCAGAAGTATCCAAGACTTTATACGTTTATAACTGGGACTATGACAAACAAAAATGTAAGAATTACTGCTTTAGAGGGGTTTCTGAATGACTTTCCCCCCTTACGAACTTCTAAGAAAACCCCAAACAGTTAAAAAGAGAAATATTTCAGCACACGCTGCATATCATTTGACAGTAGTATCTTGTTTGGAAATGTTATGTACTGTATAGCAATGAAGACTGTGGTAGTAAGAACTCTGATAGCTCTGCTTTCAAATTAATGGGTCATACTGTCATGCTGGCAGTAAATTATTTAGTCCCAAATGTCACTCATTCTATTCTAGTGTGTATTAAGTAAATAGGTAAATTAAATCAAAGAAACAACATTAAAATCCTTTGTGAATTTTTTTTTGATGATACAACTACAAGGCTAAATGTGTCAGTCACAAAACACGCATTTTCCCATATTTTTTGAGATTTCTTATTTTAAATTTTTCTTGTAGAACTAAATACCATTCCAATTCTACACCACTGCAGGCAGCTAAAATGAAAAATGTAAACCTTCTCTTTTGCCACAAGGTCTAGACTAATTGACCTTCTTCTATTCATCTGTGCCTAAGTCAACTTACTGAATGATATATTCATTGAGGGTTTAGTAGGCCTAGGCATTGTTCCAGCATCTTGGATTCAATGAGACTTAGGAAGAAAAAAGACCAGGTCTTAGTAACTTACAAATTGTGAAGAATGAAGGAAAAAGAGGAAATTAGTATGACCTCAACGCTTCTTTTGTAGACAACTAGTAGACAGAAGAGCAATTTAATAAGATAAATAATATGAAAAATAATATGTAAGTGTAAGAAACTGTATCCAGAAGCTTGTTGGAGTATTTTCAGTGGCTAAAATGACTATTTCTTTGCATGAAAAGCTGACATTATCTAGCACAGAGGAAAAATGTGTAAGGTTGCTAGATTTGCTAATTCTTTGGAGAAATAGTGACATACATGCACATCAAAGAACACGATAAAACTTAATAAATAGACAGTTTTTACGTTAAGAAAATTTGTCTTTGTTATGAAAATTATTCACCCACTGGGATTAGAGAATTTTACAGAAATATCCTTGTCTGAATATTATGTGTCTTCAAGGTTTCAAGTTTCCTGGTAACGACTGCAGTGACCATGTAAATGTATTAATAGAAAACCCAAGAGGGATGATAAGGTTAACTCTACTAGACATAAAGGTGAGTCAGCAAGGGAGTATGACTAGTTTCAACCATTTCCCACTTCCATTATTGAGGGTTGTCACTATGATACCATAACTTGAGACCAGTGGCATGCTGGAGCTAGCTTCTACCAGTTCATGAGAGCCAGTGGTTAAACCTTGAATATCGTGACTAGTTGTTTGTTAAACACAGCCAATACTCAGAATTCATATGATATAAACTTATAATATATTATATGGAAAACAAAATAAATATTCAAGCTCATTACTTAATTATTTAGTACATTTTAATGTTATCTGAGCTCTTGAGGTTTTTTCATGTTTATTGTACCTGTATGGTGGAATTATTATAAATCAGTGTGCATCCTTACCAACTCTGCATCTAATGAGGTTACATGGGTTCCCTAATGTCAGTCAAAGTGAGAGTCTTTACACCACTGAAATTGGCAAATTCTACAAATTTAGGCTTGGTTTATTGTTTCATTGATTGTTAGAATTAAGATAGCAGAGAAAATATTAATAATGAAGATTAAACTTAAAAGCGTGAAGCTGTATTTGATGTATAGTCGTTATATTATAAATACCATAAAAATTGGGAATATAGTCTTCTGATATTCAAAGACGATTATCAATTTACAAAAGAAAACACTCATCACTGACTACTGATGACCAAATAACATTCCAATGTACATTTTCAGTGACTCACATTCATCTTACTGTTAATTAAACAAAACCACCTATCATTACAACACTAATCTGTCAATTGTAGCCATAGGCTAATTTCAACTATATTACATAAATTAAAGCATTTTGTGAAAATTAATGATACAAAATTTACCATAAACATATTTTTTTAGTATTTATAAATTGTGTGCTATACATTCTTGACATCAGTAGTTTATAAATAAATATATAGAGAAATGTGTATGCAGACCTTATTTTTTCAGTAAGCACCTGTTAAACACCACTGCCTCAGACATGGAACCAATAGTTTACCACTTTCATGGTGTCCAAGTGTGACATTTTGGGGCTAGCTGACTGTATCCTGAAATAACATATTTATGGAATATTTCCTAGCTCATACCAGATCATTTTATATATACATATATATAAAAATATATAATTTAGGCATTTTATTTGCTTCTAATATATCAGTTTAAGATATATGTAATTTATTATATAATACATATTTAATATAATATAATATATAATATAGATGGCATTTCATTTGCTTCCAATATATCGGTTTGATATATTGCTTCCAATATATCGGTTTGAGATATATTGGAAGCAAATGAAATGTTTAATTAAAACTTAGAATGTGATATTTTTATTTTTATTTTTTGAGATGGAGTCTTGCTCTTTCACCCAGGCTAGAATGCAGTGGCACCATCTTGACTCATGAAACCTCCACCTCCTGGTTCAAGTGATTCTCCTGCCTTAGTCTCACGAATAGCTGGGTTACAGGCATGTGCCACCACGCCTGGCTAATTTTTTTGTATTTTTAGTAGAGATGGAGTTTCACCATGTTGGCCAGGCTGGTCTCAAACTCCTGGCCTCAAGTGATCTGCCTGCCTCAGCTTCTCAAAGTGCTGGGATTACAGGCGTGAGCCACTGTGACCAGCCCAAAATGATATTGTTTACATGGCATTTTATTGATTTTGTTTGTTCTATTGTGTTGTATAAAGTTTTCTCAAGTCTAATTTACTTTTAAGAGAGGAGGCTAGAAGAAATATATTTATATGGCAATTCAGTTTTCATATATTTCCACATACCATCTCTTTGATTCACATAAAGTTTGTGAATAGATAGCAAAGACATTCTTAGAGATACAGACACAAGTATTATTAATTATTAGTCATAACAAAAAGTATTATTATTTTAGAGGATTTTGGGTCTTGCAGAAATGGCTTTTGTTCAATATTGCACTGCTATTCCCTATCATAGCTGAGAACTGAACTTAGGTCTTTCAGTGGACCTACTATTAAAGACAGCCACTACCTCTTCAAATAAATTCTCCTTTATATTGTAACTGCTGACTGTATGCTTAAAGACTTTTTTTTTCTTTTTTTTAACTCTCCCAGGTAAGAGACATATAATGGAGTAAAATGGAAAATAACAAATAACAGTGGTGAAGGGAAATCTGCAGTGTATTTCAGTGAAGAATTTTTTTCCCTCCTCTGTGTTCTGAATCCTGAATGACAGGTTTAAGATTGCTTTTTGCCTTAATTTATGTTGTGAGTTTCTTTCTATGATTATCAATGAATTCTCACATGAGTATGCAAGCATAATAAGAGTCAAACTCCAGCAATTTCCTGACAAGTTATAAAATAATAAAATACTTCTAAATGGTATATCACAGAAGACGATATTTTTACACCAGAGGTGTGGTGACACCTATAAATCATCTCAGCGCTTCTTTTAAAATTTCTATTCTCACTGGCAGAAACTGAAGGAAAAATGAATAGGGTAAGTGTCATCCAGAGCAAACCAATATAACTTTGGGGGAAAGTAAAAGATCCAGAAGTCCTATAATGCTTATGTAAATTAGAGAAGAGAATGCTTCACTCTCTCAATTCTCCTCTCATATTTACCTTTTACCTACATTTCTAAAAGTCTGAGAACTTAGCACATAATATTAAAAATAAAATATAAAGGCTGAATATGGCTTTGGAAGAAATATCTTTATTCAAATATACAGCCTTAGTACAGGCCCAATATATTTGTTCAGACTCCGTTCTGCTCCCTAGGATGGCAATAACATTCCATTGGCAGACATGCTATAACATACTGTGGCTGCAGATAAAAATGCCTCTTTCAAAATAAGGGAGGAGTTTGTTTTCCTTACAAGTTAATAGATAATAACCCTTCAATCAATCACAGAAAACACAACACAAAATAAACTACACACCTGATATCAGGAAATTTCCTCAAAGAGACAAACATTTGCTTCATTTTGTAGAGCTAGTGGATTATTTATCTTTTGATAACCAAAAGACACCCTTTGGTATTATAGAACATTTCCAAGCCATAATTTTATGAAGAGCTTTCTTTATCATTTTGCATCTACTGCAAAAATGTTGCAACTTTTACTCATATGTAAAAAATAGTTTCCTCAGGTTTTTAAACATTATAGAACTCCAGTCAATACATATATTGTTAATATTGGTGGTAAAAATAATTATTACTATAGACCAAGCATTAGGACATTTTTTTCATTATCTCATTTAAGTCCCATAAAAATCTTCAGTGTACATGCTGCTGTCTTTTTTTCAGATAAGGATATGGCGATGTAAAAAAAAAAATAAATTTCTTATCCAAGGATATAAAAGCCTGCAGGTGTTAGAGATCTGCTTGACTCTACGGTCTTTTTAGAGATTTCACTTATTCCCATGGGAAGAAAAGGCAATCCAGACAGGAAAACTTTTTTTTTTTTAAATAACCTGTGAAAATCTGATTAATTTGGTTTCTGCCTAGTTATCAATAGATAACACACATTGCACTGACTTCAAAACCAAAATTGCCTTTTGTTTTTTTTTTTTTTTTTGAGAGGAGTCTCTGTCGCCCAGGCTGGAGTGCAGTGGTGTGATCTGGGCTCACTGCAAGCTCCGCCTCCCGGATTCACGCCATTCTCCTGCCTCAGCCTCCCAAGTAGCTGGGACCAAAGGCGCCCGCCACCACACCTGGCTAATTTTTTGTATTTTTAGTAGAGACGGGGTTTCACCGTGTTAGCCAGGATGGTCTCGATCTCCTGACCTCGTGATTCGCTCACCTTGGCCTCCCAAAGTGCTGGGATTACAGGCGTGAGCCACCGCGCCCAGACAATATTGCCATTTTTGACCCTCAGAGACGCCAAAGTTGATGCTGGCTTTTTCCGCCTTACGTTCTGATTTACCCTCATCTGTAGATGGAGAGATTTTATTTGTTCCCTCAAGTTAACTTTATAAAATTTGCTTTACTTTTTTTATTGCATTTTGTACTACTATCCTTTAAAACAGCCTTTTCTTTAAAATAAAAAAGAAAATTTAAATAGTTTAATTTTCTGCACATTTGTAATTTTTTTTAAACTTACAAATGTTACCACCGATGACTCTAGCTGTACAATGCTATCATCCAAATTTATCAAGTAAGAAATTTAGTTTTTTTTTGCAGTGAGCTGAGATCTGGCCACTGCACTCCAGCCTGGGCGACAGAGCGAGACTCCGTCTCAAAAAAAAAAAAAAAAAAAAAAAAAAAAAAAAAAATTTAGTTTTTTTTTTCCTGTATGGTTTAAAGTTTTAGCTTGAGGGTCTCTGTAAAGAGATGGCCAAGTTTATTTAGAAAGAATGCACTTTTTATATATATCTTTTTCTTTGAAATGGCTTAAAATGACCTGCCATCTTTATTAAAATGTTTAAGAAATTTTTAAAAATTGAATTTTGAGGTTTGATTTCTTTAGTAGGTCCAAACTGAACTAAATGTTCTCTAAATTTTCTAGGAGCTTACAGAATCTATGATAATTCTGCCTTGAAGCATTTAGCTTTCAGTTTAACTTCTCCTCCCCAGTTGGAGATCCTCACTCTGATTTTTCAACTGACATATATTCTCAGATTAAAAAGAAACCAGAATTGTCATTATAAAGGGTTTACTTCCTCTCGTTGAAAAGAACACTAACATACAACTTCAGTGAGTTATGGACAGAAACATTAATACTTTAAGTTGCCTTATTACAAAGTTATGATCATATTAAAAATAGAATTTAAATTAGTTAGAAGGACAGGTAGTTTTACTCCCATTTTGGCATGGGGAGAAACTAAAAATGTTGTGTCAAACATGAAGATTATTCAGTTGCCCTGAATGAAAAGTCATGAACAAAAAGTTTGAAATATTTTATTAAAATCATGCTACAGCAGTTTCCTATTTTTTTCTTAGGAAATGAATACGTAATTATTGTTTTGCAAGAGCTTGAATATATTTCAAAGACTGAATGAGTCATCTACAATACTGTGCTTATTAGAAATTTATTGAATGTAACCTTTTGCACTTTGTAATATGTTTCTGAAAACTAATCTCTCTGTAAGACCAAATTGAATCTCATTTTTTGGTTTGAGTTCTGGCAGATAGTTAGCAAAGTAAGAACTGTAAGTCAATAGTCATTCAACATAGGAGAAAAGGATTAAATTTCCTATACTTTCTCTTTCTTTAAGCCAGTAGCTCTTGAATTGATGTTCAACCATTATATGTCAAATATCTGGACTTTTTGGTGGCTACAATAATGCTGGAAATATTTAATATGAATCTCTTAAAATGTACACCATGTGAATAAGTCCAGCTAATAATAAGGCCTGTTATTCCTTAGTTATCAAAAGACTATTGCAGAGAGAGGTCTCTGCTGTGCTTTTTAAAAAGCAGACCTAAATATTGTAATAAGTGAGTTATGACTATAAATTTCTGTTACCTATATATTAATATAAACAGTCAAACACATTTCTGATATAGACATGCCTATATGCCTGCAAAAGATTAAGAAAAACAATTATTTTAGTAGAAATAATTTACCAAACAGGGTTGTAATAGTTCTGTTAAATTTGGCCAGAACACTGCTCATTCATTTTCATGGTAATCACTTAGCTATATGTATGTAAGTGAGAGAAATATATTAGTTATCTCTTAGATTAGAAGTAATATGACAGATACTATAAAATTGAATGTTTTCCATGGGTCTAGCCCTGAGCTAAGCATTTAACATATATTAACTTATTTAATCTTAACAAGAAATCTATAAGGTAGGTTCACACAGTTTTGTGAATGAAGAAATAAAGATTTAGAGAATTCAAGGTGCCACACAGCTAGAATCAAACCCATGTCTGTCCCATTCTAAAGACCATGTTGTCACATCATTGTGTGATATTGCCACCTTGAATAAAAGCTACGTGACAACTATGAAAGTGAATAAACAGTGTTCTAGCCAACTTTAACAGAACTACTATAACCTTGTTCAGTAAATCATTTCTTTTAGAATGGTCTGTGAATTGGAAATATTAGCAGTAGCTGGGCACAATTAATTACAAATGAGTTATTGCACCATAATCACTTAGAATGGTACATACAATACAAACTGGGTTACCAGCTACTAGAGATCAATGGTCAGGGAGTGAATGTGTATACAGTTGACCCTTGAGTCACAAAGGTATGAACTACGTGGATCCACTTATATGTGCATTTTTTCTGCCTCTGCCACCCCTGAGATAGCAAGACTAACCCCCGCTTTTCCTTGTTCTCCTCAGCCTACTCAACATGAAGACAATGAGAATAAAGACCTTTATGATGATTCACTTCCATTGAATGAACAGGAGACATATTTTCTCTTCCCTATGATTTCCTTGGTAATATTGGCTTTTCTCTAGCTTGTTTTAAGAATATGGTATAAAATAATAATCACATACAAAATAAATGTTAATTGACTATGTTGTCAGTAAGGGTTATGGTCAACAATAGGCTATTGGTAGACAAGTTTTTGGGTAGTCAAAGCTTATACAGAAATTTTTGACTGCATAGGGGCAGCCGTGCCCCAACTTCCACATTGTTCAAGAGTCAAGTGTATATTTAAAATCCTCCCTTAAGTGATTTGAAGCCGGAACTTGTCTTTAAATGGTCAGATGGAAAAGAAAGGATTCTGTCTAGTAAATAAAATGATTAATTGAAGATACCCACAGATACACACTTGCTTTTTTGCTAGACTGCCTTAAGAATAAACTTCAGTATAAAATATAAGCTCAAAGGAGAATTAGTACTGCTACATAACATAGAAGCATAGTTATTAGAATATATTTTCCTTCACTGAACACATACACACACACACACACACATATACATACACACAAACACACCCACATGCACTCACATATTAATGATGGGGATTTATACAGACTCGGAGAGAGTTTCAAAATCAGGTCTTTTTTATCTGTCTTACTTGTGGAGAATAAAGAGTGGCATGCTATTCAGTAGATATTTGCTAGTTTAAGAAAAGAACTAATAAACTGGATGGCAAAAAGGTTGAGAGGGGTTGGGAAGAAAAAGTTCTTCAATGCTCATGAGATGAGAAAGGTTAAGAAGACAAAAGAAAGTTATTTTTCTTTATAGCTCCTATCAGACAGTTATGATCTTTTAAAATGCAAAAGAAATACTCAGCCTTATATGGGCATGAGTGTTAACAAACAGTAAGTTATTGCAAAATTAAAACTTAATTCAGCAGTGATTGAAAAAAAGCTTCACTTAAATAAGATAGACTCTACTTATATATTTTTAATTAAACAAACTAAATCATGTTATAACTTTCATAGCTTTTTTATGGATATACATTTATTCCATTATATTTTTATAGAAAAATAGGGACCAAATTTTGTGCTAACATATGTACTTTTAGTTATTTCTTTCCTAATTAAAGCCTCATTAAGTATCCTTGAATTTAAGAGTAGTTGTTTTTAATTAGGAGCCATTTTGTGGTGTCACCTCTCGGGGCAGCGCTATTGGCATCTAGTGAGCAGAGGCCAAGGGTGCTACTAACATTCTACAATGTATGGGACACAGCTTCCCATAACAAAAAGTTCTTTGGTCCAAAATGTCAGTCATGCTGAGGCTGAGAAAGCGGCTTTCCAGTAACCTAAGATTCTCCTGGGGAGCTGTTTTAGTCCATTCAGGCTGCTGTATCAAAATACCATCAACTGGTAGCTCATAAACAACAAGAATTTCTCATGGTTCTGGAGGCTGGAAGGTGCAAGATTAGTGTCTGATGAGGGCCTACTCCCTAATTCACACACGACACCATCTTTTTGCTGTATCTTCACACAGTAGAAAGACAAATGAGCTCCCTTGGGCCTTTTCTGTGAGGGTGCTGCTGATATCATTTACTAGGGTTCTTCTCTCATGGCCTAATCACCTCCCAAAAGGCCCCATGTTCTAATATCATCATCTTGGGAGATAGGATTTCAGCACATGAATTTTAGGAAGATACACACATTTAGATCATGCAAGAGCTTATTAAAAATACAAGTTTCTGAGCACTGCTCCAGCAATTCTGATCTCAAGGGTGGAGGTGGAATTCAGGACAGTACCCAGTTTATTATTTTCCTTAGGTTACGTTTTCCTCCTTTCAGGTTCTATTTTGAGAAACGTCAAACAAAGTACTCAGATACTTCAATCAAAGTCAAGTCATTACCAATTGATGATCACTATCTAACGTAGAAATGGTGACTAAAAGGAGTTACCCATTTCAATAGGGCAAGTTATGCAACTAGAAATTCTAGTTGAATTTCATGAATTATAAATATATTTACAAATGTAGCTTTAGATCAGGAGCAGAGGCATCACCTGGGAGTTTGTTAGAATCTCGGGCTCCAATTCAGACCTACAGACTCACAATCTGCATATTCACATCTCTGGCTATTTTACGATTGTACAGCTTTAAATGAAATAAAATATCTAAGTATAGTACCCAGCATATTCAATTCCTATAAGAAGTGGTGGTGATTACCATTAGTAATAATGGTAATGATGACAGTATAAATAGAGCAGTAAGGAAAGGCTGAAGATAGGGAATAATGTAATGAAAAGATTCCTTCGAAAAGATAAGAAGGAACCCAGGGTATATTAGTTTTCTATTTCTGTGTAACAAATTGCCACAAACTTAACAGCCTCAAACACCAATTTATTAAGTCACTGTTGTGTAGACATGACTGGGTTTCTGCCCAGGACATGACCAGGATGAAACAAGATGTCAGCTAGCTTGTCTGGAGGCTCTGGGGAAAAATCCACTGCCCATCTAATTCTTCATGCAGGCAGAATTCAGTCCCTTGTGGTTGCAGAACTGAGATTCCAGTTCCTAGACTGCTGTCAGCAGGGGGTCACTCTCAGCTTCTAGAGAATGCCCACAATCCTTGCCATGTGGCACCCTCCATCTTCAAGTCAGCAATAGTTCATTGAATCCTTCTCATGCTTTAGATCTTAGTCTTTCCCGTGTGCACTAGCCAAAGAAAAGCCCCGCTTTAAAGGGGCTCATTTGATTAGGCTAGGGCATTCAAATAATCTCCTTTTCTTTTAAAATCAATTGTTCCATACTATCAACTCACCAAGAAAGCAAAACATTCACATCTCTTGGGATTACGTGGAGGAGGGGCAGGAAATCTTGGAGAGCATCTTAAAATTCTGCCTGCTACACACTGCCACGGAACTGATGAGCCTCAATGGAAGGGAAATCCCTGTAGTATACTAAAGGAGAAGGAGGTGGGGATATGTGCTGGTCAATTAATAAATCTGGCTGTGGAGGATTTTATTTGTCAAGTAAGTGTTTAGTTTGCTGAAAATGAATGGAAAGTACCTGTCTCAAAGTTCGAAGGCGAGTAAAACAGTTTTGAAACACTTGCTAGAGGCAATGGGGGAGAGAGTTTCACAGAAAAGAATGAAAGGACTGTTGCTGGAAAGTGCAGAGTCCAGCAGGAGACAGGCTGCGCCCCAGAAGAGCATAGGTGTGTTATACAAGGTGGAGCAGTCACAGACTGGAAGTTACCTGACAGAAATGGGGAGAGGAGGAAGGGGCAGGCCCTGCTTTTGAGGTCTATCCAGGAATTGGTCTCCTCCAAAGGGAGCCCGGTTACCACCCGGCTCAGCCCAATACCTGGAAGAGAAATGTGCTAAATTTTTCTTTCTTTTTTACTGTGAAATGAATATGAACTAAAGAGGATCACATATCCTTTGAGCTGCAGGATTTTAAAGAGATGGATGATACCACTGAATTAATTTCTTTCAGGGACTTTTATAAGCCACAGGAAGACAGTTTTATCATCTTCCATGGGCTATAAGGCAAATGCTGTGGTTACTTTGCTAATAGTGAAGACTGTCTTGAGAGATTCTTGATAATGATGCTCAAACAATATAGCACAGAGGGACAGTTATATTATCTTCTCTCACATTTTATTACAGATAAGAGATTGTGAAGTATGAGACTGACAAAAGCAGTGGGTGACACCTCATTTTTCACATATCTCACAGGGACAACAGCCTTGAAGGGATGTTCTTTGTCCTTCACACTTTTTACCCTGGTGCACACAGCGTCACGGAAAAGTGAGCGGGAAAGCTCTCTGGCCCACACCCCACACCTTGCTTCAGAGACTCCGTATATTGATGGTATGCTGTTTCAGTCTGGGTTTAGGTTGATGTTCTGCTTTTACTCACTGAATAGTAATTTTAGAAAATGCCAGATTCTTATTATATAAATGTATTATTAAATCTAATCTAAAAACTTCATGTTTGAGTTAAAAAAAAAAAAGGTGAATTTAAAGCATGAAGGTTTATAATGGTTTTATACACAATGATCTTCTCCCCTAGGCTCAGACTTCTAAGATATTCTTAAGAGTGGTTTTAAGAAATTTCACATAATATTTGAATAAAAGGCTATCATTTGAGAATTAATCAGTGAGGAAGACAAAGTTCCTACATATCTGTTTCCTTTAAGATAAGTTCATAAACATTTTTACAATAAAAATATATATAATGCCATGAATGGTGCCATTCAAGCCAAATAAAACAAGTCTAATCGTCATTCAAAGAAGTTAGAATCATATCTGTTTTTTATGCTTTTTCTTAAATGCAAATTATTTTCAGTTCTGCCTAACTAGCTTAAGAATGCACATACAATTGTCTCTCTGTATCTGTAGGGGATTGGTTTCAGGATACCCAGCAGATACTAAAATCCACAGATCCTCAACTTACTTATATAAAATGGCACAGTATTTGCATATAATCTGTGCATATTCTCTTGTATATTTAAATCATCTCCAGATTACTTAAAATATCTAAACAATGGAAGTGCTATGTCAACAATTGTTATACTGAATTGTCTGGGGAATAGTAAAATAAAAACATTTGTATATGTTTTAATCAAATATTTTCAATCCACTGTTGGTAGACTCCACTGATGTGGAATCCATGGACACAGAGATCCAGCTGCGTAAAGCATAACGAAGTGATTATCTTTGGAATGTATCAAAAGTTTCCATGGTCACTTACATGTGATCTCAAGAAAAATAATAGAGAAAGATAAGAGTTGATATTGACAAATGCAGATAAAATTATGTTTAGTGCACTCAAGTGTTAGGTTGTTGTTGCTTTTTTTTTTTCCAGACAGAGTGTCACTCTGTTGCCCAGGCTGGAGTGCAATGGTGCGATCTCAGCTGACTGCAACCTCTGTCTTCTGGGTTCAAGCTATTCTGCCTCCCAAGTAACTGGGATTATAGGCTTGTGCCAGCATGCCCAGCTAATTTTTTTCTATTTTTAGTAGAGACGAGGGTTCATCATGTTGGCCAGGCTGGTCTTGAACTCCTGACCTCAAGTGATTCACCCACCTCAGTCTCCCAAAATGCTGGGATTACAGGTGTGAGCGACCACGCCCAGTCATGTTAGGCATTTCGATAACTCTTTATTTCATTATTTCAATTTGACATGACTGTTATTATTATCCCTATCTTCTAAAGGAGGAAATTGGGCCTCCAATATGTTGGATTACTTCAGCAGGATCCAGTAGGAGATTTTCAATTTATATTCAAAGGCTGCTTCAAGATTCCCCCTAAAGAGAAGTCATGTCGTGTCACTTCTCTGTCTAAAAACCTAATGGATTCTCCCCTCTCTCAAAGACATCCCAAATCATCAGTATTTCATTCAAGGTAAGTCTTCAGCTAACTCTTTCTTCAGCTCAACACTGAACTTTCCCCTGACTCACTCAGGTCTAGCCACTCTCAAGCAAACTCTAGCTTGTTTTGCTGCAAAAGCAAGCAAATGGCTTTTGCATTGCTGTTCTCTTCTTACTGAATTATCTTTCCACAGATATCATCTTGCTTTGCTTGCTTACTTCTTTCCTATTTTTACTCATATGCCATTTTATCGGATAGGATTCTAATCATTCTCCCTTAATATTGTATTATATTTCCTCATAGTATTTACTTACAAATATTTCTTTACTTGTCATCTGTATGTCTCTCTGCAGAATAGGACTTTTTGCTTGGTACCATGTCCCCTATGCTTAGAACAAAGCCTGTCAGGTAGTAGTTATTTCAATATTGTTGAGTGACTATATGAATTCTTAACTTTTTGCTTGGTACCATGTCCCCTGTGCTTAGAACAAAGCCTGTCAGGTAGTAGTTACTTCAATATTGTTGAGTGAATATAT